AGGAGGAGAATGAGGGACACTGGTTTTGATAAACATATTTTGTTTTAAATGCCATCTTATTGGGTAACATACCGACACACAAAGGCCTTTACTTCCTTTAGGGGAGGGAGGCTCACTCTTTATTAAAACCTCCCCCCTTTTTTACTTTCTTTAAAGAGTGCTCCAGGCAATGTCAATTTACTTGATAATCTGTAAAGATTTCAAACTAATTCATGCCTTAAAAGGCTTTGGAATTTTATTGAGTTGGAACTTTGACAAAAATACTTTTTATCTTTTTAGTCTTAAAAGTTCCTTGTTCTGGAGTTTTCTTTCTACTCTACCATTCTTGCACCAGGTCACAGAAATGCCTCACATCTGTTTGAAACTATATCTAGGTAAGATGCCTAAATGGTAATGAGATTAAAGTAATATATTTAAGAGTAAATCTTATTTGCATGTGCTAACATTAAATAGTAAACTAACATTTTAAGGGAAAAATGAATACATTTTTCTCTTTCCAAAGTCTTTTCAAAAAGAAATCATAGGAAATAAGCAGATTTTAAAAAAAGCTAAATGATTTCATCTTAGGAAAAAGTTATTTGTCATAGAGTTAAATTCATTTAAAAACTTGAATGAATTGCTTTCTATGTGCAGAAATTTAAATAATATAGTATTTTATTTATGGAGAGGACAGCTCCAGCCTCCTGCAGTATATCAGATCAACACACTAGCTATGTTTGCATAAGTTCCTGGAACACGCTGCACTGCGTCCAGGCAGGGACAGGGGCTGGGGGGATGATTATTGGGAATGGCTTACAGTACCAATTTTTTGCAATACTAGGTGGTTTAGTGCACAGTCTAAATATTCTTTTTTGTTATAACCTAAGTTCTGGAGTAGCCAGCTCTTACCAAGGTATACTTGAGCTTTTCTGCACTTTAGCCTCTAAACATTTAATTTTACTGGTGGGAGGTAGACCCTGAAGACAGTAAAAAGAACGTTGATGCGCAGACTGTAGCTGGACTTGTGGGATGGTCATGCACAGTAAAGTTGAAAGCCCAGGTGGGCTGTGCCTCCCAAAGAAGCCCTTTCCAACCCACTGATGATGGGCTGGAGGCCTTTCTGAGCGCAAAGAGTTAGAGATGGAAAAACGGCAATCAACCTCATGGAGGTTTTTGCACTTTTGAAAGAAATCATGACAGTGGCGGTGTTTTGTCCAGGGGAAACAAATAATACATTAAACAGAATAAGGTGTTTTGGGGAGGGAACTGGGTGCCTCTCCCGCCGCCCAGCCCTGAAGCACCCAGGAAGGGCCCTGGAGGAAGGCAGAGGCCCTACTCTTCTGGGCCACAGAGTGTGGCCCTGTAGATATACACCACTGGGTTTAAGATACTAGAATGGGTGTGTTCTGTTGGATTTATTTTATTTTACATAAAGGTATTGTTTTTAAAGCTTCCTTCTTTAAAGGTGTAGCCTCACATAAAGATAGTATCTCTAGGAGCACAGTATTGTAATCCAAACTAGTTTCTTTCACTTAATGTTGTCGAAACTGTACTGCCCCTAACTTTGTCATCCTCAGGTAGGACATGATGATGGGGGCCAGTTATGGAATTTGAGGGTCTTCCCTCTAGGTTTTACTGATGGCCCTCAGACCTCCACAACGCATATCTCCTCAGCTGCCAGGAATGGCTACAACAAGTAGTTTAGGGAGAGTGCGTTTTCCTAATCAAGAAGTGGAGGATCAATGCAGCACAGCTTTCAGGGTGATCTATTTTTAAAACACCGTGAAGCGGGTATAGAAAGAAAGCTGATTTGAATTGCAAGTGTAAACCTTTGTTATCTGCCAAATGCACTAGTGATTGTCAGAAACTGGTATGGTGGTGACGGCTTTGCCAATGAAGACTTCTTGTTTCTAATAAAAAGATGAGTTGATTTTATGTTAGTTGTAATTGGTAATGATTTGTATAAGTTATTTATTGGTGAGAATTCGGTCAAGGTGACAGCCTACTGTTTGATGGCAAGACAGACTGATGATGGCGGGAGTCTGTTATGTGTGTCTAAGTAGGCTTAGTTTAATGTCACTCTCCTAGCTTGTGACCTTGGAAATGAGGGCTAATGTGAATAGGTTTATTAAAGTCATGATTGACCTCCATTGGAAAATAAATGTCTTAGATCTTAATTTTTATTTCCATGTTGGAATGCATATCTTTAAGAAGTATCCTGACAAGAGTATTTACCAATATGGAGTCATGAGCTGTTGTTGGTTACTAAGACTCTGGAACACCCAGGAGCAGGGTGTGCCCTTGACCCTGTGACAGGTCATGCCACAGCTCCATGTCCTTTAAAACCAGTCACTCTGGAGACAATAGTAGTCAACTGTGTGGTGGGACAGGGTAAGGACACAACCAGTCTTTTCACATTTATTTTTGTGTAGACAAAACGGTATTAATGGAATGTTTTTCACCTTCCCACTGGCTGTTTTGATATTGTTTGTTTAAAATGTATATTTAGAATGGAATCATCTGAAAAGCTGATCTTGCTAACTACCTATGAAGGGATATGTCATAAGAATGTATAAAAATAAAAATCTAAGAAAAAATCCCACATTGTTCCTAAAGAGAATGAATGTTTTCCAGTAGGTTTTTTTGTGGTTTTTATGTAAATTCTAATTAAAGCATATATGTGTTTATGTGCATGTTTTTTTATGGTGGCACAGAATCACTGGGGAGAATATATGTGAAAAGTCCCAGTTCTTTAATTCCTCACCTGAATTAGAACTCGATATTGTTAGCACAGAACTAGAAAGCATGGCAGACAGAGCATAAACCACTGGCTTGTATTTAAATAGACTGGACAGTTTGTGGTAAGAATGACATCCTGGAAGGCTAGTGACAGTAGTGTGACCAACCATCCCGTTTGGCCTTGAATGGAGGGGTCTCCTGGAACATGGGACTTTCAGTGCTAAAATGAGAACAGTCCTGAGCACACCATGATGGTTCATTACTAACCTTAAGTGCAAACCGGAATGGCTAATCATGCCCATCTCTTAGGAGCTTGAAAAAAGTGCGCTAGTTTGAGACAAAGGAGTAGATACTCTTACCTGTTTGTAGCGTTGTACAAAAACAAAATAAACCAAAACATGAATAGCTAGACTCTTCCTTTCATTTTGAAGTTAAAACATTTAATAGATGGGAGACATTTGATGGAACATTCCTAAATTCATTCTTTCTCAGGGTGGTGGCTAAATGTTTTAAAAAGTGTTTTAGTTTCTGTGATTCCAAAATACTATCCTACAAGAAATAGAGGAAGAAGTAACATCATAATTTATATTTTGTTTTTTCAAAAATCTAGCGTGGGCTCTTAGTCTGCTCAGGCTGCTATAACGGAATACCACAGGCTGGAGGCTTCAACAATGGACACTTATTTCTCACAGGTCTGGTAGCTCAAAATCCAAGACCAAGGTGCTGGTGGATTAATTCTTGGTGGGGGTCCTCTCCTGGTTTGCAGATGGCTGCCTTCATGCTGTGCCCTCACATGGTAGAAAGATCATTTCTCTTGTGTCTCTTCTTATAAGGGCACTAATCCCATTTGTGGGGCTTCACCTTCATGTACTAATTACTTCCCAGAGGCCCCAGCTTAAATACTTTCACATTGGGCTTTAGGGCTTCAGCATAGGAATTTCTGAGGTGCACAAACATTTTTGAGGCAGACTCCGTGTGATATCGTATTTAAAATGCTTTTCCACCATCCACATCAAAACCCATGTCTTCAACTAGATAGAATACTTGGTGAGTAGTGATATCTCACGCCTTCTTTGAATGGTGCCTTCATCCCACAGGCCTATCTGGGATGGGTATGAGCAGGGGTGGCCTGTATAGTCAGCTGTCACACTGTCGAGGACAAAGGACCCAGCCTCCCTCCATGCTGCCATGAAACTTTGGTTTATTTCCCCCATCAGTCCTCAAGGTGGCCAGCACAAATGGACCCAGAGTGGTTTTGGCTTTCCTACTGGGTGTTGGAGTGGGAGGGGGCCGTGCTGCATCCTGCTGCCATATTAGCTGCAGCCTGCAGCCCTGCTGGGCCCCAGCCCATGGGATTAGGGTGGGGACGAGAAGGAACAGCACTGCCTACCCCCCATTCCCACCCTCTGTGCGCTCATTCACCTCATTCCGGCATGGGACCTCACCACCAACAGCATGGAGAGAGGTGCTCAAAACATGTCCCTCTATCTTTCCGTTCTCGAATGACGATGGCCTCCCCTCCAAGAGACTAAAGACCACTATGGACATGAGCACTCATCCCACCTCACCCTCTTACCACCTACATGGGAACACAACTGGGAGAGTAGGGGGCCAAGGGCTGTGGCAACTCCAAAACAAAAAGCTCTCCAGAGTGGTGGCCACATTTCTCCTGCCTGGAGTGGAGGCCACAGCTGGCAGCAGCAGGGAGTCAGCATCCCTCCTTGCAGCTCCTCCATGCCCGCCTCACTCCTGCTCAGCTCTCTTCACTCCCTTACACCTGCCTCCCCTGACCTCTAGGAAAAGTCAGGGCCATTTATCACCTACCCCGTGGTACTGGACTCTTTCCCTCAGTTGTCATCAACCAACTGCACTATTATATGTTTAATGACTAGCGTCCATGTTGGATGGCAAGCTCTGAGACGATAGGGACAGTGTGTCAGTCCTGTTTGTCGTCGTGCCCTCAGTTCTTAGCACACGCCTGGTACATCCTGGGTGCTCAACCAGATTCAATAAGTGCCTGAGTGCACGAGTGAGGAGAAGCTTCCTCGGTGCCCCTTTCCAGGCTCTGAGGAGTTCTGAGGCGACGTCATTTTACAAACACTGACCCCAGGACTTCCAAATTTCCTTTTATTAGCATTTTATTCTATTACCTTCCTATATAAGAAAGGGCTTTCCCCAGAATCTTACTGCTCCAGATCTGACCCAGGCCTGCCCAAGGGGCTATACACCGTGTGTGTGTGTGTGTGTGTGTTCAGATGTTGAGTCTACTTTCCTACACAGGAAGTTTTGAAGAGAAGCCTTCAGCCACAGTAGTGCTGATGGGTAAAAATTCTTGCTGGCAAGGAAAACCACTAAGGTGGTAAAAAGAAAAATGCTTTATAGCAGCGCCAAATCACCGGGAAGGGCATCCACTGTCAAAAGGTGGCCCATGGGAAGTTTATGGGACCGCTGTTGCATTTGGAGCAAACAGCCTAGAAAATCTGCCAATGACTGTTGAAGTCTACCTTCTGGCTGGAGAGAGATTTATAGAGCACCCTAAGTGTCAGCACCCAGGCATGAGCAGAGCTTTTGGTGGGGGTGGGCTCAGTCGTCTGCGTTGGGCCTGGCCTTCCCCAGCGCAGTGTGCTGTGGCCCGCTGGTGCAGAAGGCCGCCTTGGCTCTTGGGGGCTGCCGAGGCTTCACGGCCTTCTCGGGGGCCCTGCGAACAAGCAGAGGGTGGGGTGAGTGGGGCGCCCCTCGACCTGCCCGCGTTTTGCGCCCAGTCTTCGCGGCTGTGAAGACAAGCCTGGCGGTTGCTGAGCTAAGTTTCGTGAAGGAGCTTCAGGAGGGACTGTAAATGAGAGACTTGTGGCACAGGAACAGAAAACGCAAGGTTTCTTCTCCCATTTTCTAATTCCTTGTGACCATTCTTGCTGAGCTGACACAGTCAACCCTCAGCTGCTAAAGGGGCCTGGGCCCAGCGGGTGGGCTCCGAGACAGCCCCCCGCCACACCCCGCTAGCTGTGTCCCGCCTGCGGCACTTCCCTGAGCAGCACCTTGGCCGTCAGTCTGCGGGCTCTGGGCCGTAGTGAAAACCAGAAGGCCGGCCGTCAAGGTGAAGTCAGAGGGCTCTCAGGGGCAGCCTGAGGCAGGGCTCCCGCAGGCCAAGCAGGGCTCTGTGCCTTTGCCCTCCAGCAGGTGAGATGACCTGCAGGCGGCCCGTCTGCAGGAGGACGAATCCCAGCCTGTGTTTCTGACATTCTTCAAGAGCTAATTTCTTCCTAATATCTGGCAAGAAGATATTTCACAACTGGGTATTCAAAGGAACTGGGCTTGCATAGTTTATGAGTTATGGGGAAGTCAGTAAAACTTTCCACGGAAAGTTCCGTAGAACCTTACAGAACCAGCTTCATCTGAGATTCTGATTGCAGGGGAAATAGTGTGAGGGGAGGCCAACTCACTTGGACAGGACATCCATGGTCTGCTGGGTGGCCAGAGTCCTCTTGTCCTGTGGTCCATATAAGAGGGTCTGGATCTGAAGACACTGCAGAACACCAAGTAGTAATTGTGAGGTTATGGAAATGTCACTGAGAGCATTTTGCAGGAAAATCAAGTCTCCCTTAAATGAGAGAATACTTCATTCATAGACCCATGCTATGACGGAATTAGTGTATTCTGAGTTTCTTCCAGGAACAGTCTGACCTTCAATTTGGATGCCCTGAGGGATCCAGGAAACAAATGTACAGTTTTAGCACTATTTTGTAGAACTCTCTGTGACTGTCCGTATGCAAAACTATGTTTAAAAGTTATGTTTCTAGAAAATAAAGGCAAGAACATTTCTATTGACCAGAGGAGGGGTCTCTAGTTTCTAATTTTAAATGACCCTTGCTACAGCCCCAAAAACTTTTCTTCTTTTTAAAATGTTTTTGCTTTTTTGTAAAGAAGTGCTTTATCTTATATGGGCTTTCTGTATTCATTACTATGCAGCAATTTCTTAGGAGCTGATTTATTTAGGAGTTAAATATTCAGCTGTATATTATCCAGGACTGGCTTTGGCTTGATTTCTTCCTTCTGCTTATTGTCCTGCCATTTGGTTGCTTATACTGGGCCAGGGAGAGACATGAGAGTTGTGCCCAAAATGGTCAAAATAATTTTGAAGAAGAATGAGATGGAGGAGCTTGCTTTGCTGAATGTCAAGACCTTTTATAAAACTAGAGTAATTAAGACAGTGTGGTTTTCATCCAGAGACAGACAAATATATCAACAAAACATGGCAGAGAGTCTAATACTTGATAGATTGACAGAAGTGGCCCTGAAGGGTCCATGAGGAAGAGCTGAACTAGTCAGTAAATGGAACTGGTTTTCCAAATGGAAGGAAATGGATCCCTACCACATATCAAACACAAAAATTAATCCCAGATAGATTGGGGAACTAAGTGTGAAATTAAAACTTGGAACTTATAGATGAAAATATTGAAGGATACGTTTATGATCTTGAGGTAGGGAAGTATTTCTTAGACAAGATCCAGACAAACCAAGAGTAAAAAAGACTGATGAAATTTAACTATATTAAAATTCAAAACATCTGTGCACCAAAATGCACCCTAGGCAAGGTACAGACAAACCAGACTGAGGGAAAATATTTGCACAAAACTGGAAAAGGATTAGCATAAAGCACTCATATAAGGTAATGAGAAAAAAAGCCTACCAACAGAAAAATGATCAAAAGATATAAACAGATATTCAAAGAAGTTGAAAACAGAATGGCTAATAACCATGCCTAAGCTCACTAGTAATCAGTAATGCAAACTAAAACTTCAATGAGATTGCCCCTTCACCTACCAAACTGCAAAAATTATAGTCTGATTAAGATTACACCAAGCTTTGTCAAAGATACGAAGCAACAAGAACTCTTATATACTGATAGTGGGTGTTAAAGTTGGTACAACCAATTTGGGAATATTTTGTAGAACAATTTGGGAATATTTAGTAATGGATAAGTAAACTGTGATATATGTGTATTGTTTATGCATGATACCACACAAATTTTTGATGTGTGTATGTCGCCACATGGATGAATCTCATGATTATAGAGAAGAAAAAGAAAATAGCAGATGAATGCATATATGTGTGCACATATTTGTATGTAAAATAAAACCATAGTAAAATAATAAAGATGAGAATGATATCTAATTCAGGATAGTAACTATCTGGAGATGGGGTGGGGAGGGGGCTTCAACTGGATGGGTCACGTTTTATTTCTTATACTGAATAGTAAGCTCAGAGGTGTTTGTTATATTATTCGTACTTTTCCTTATATCTGAAATATTTCATATTTTTAAAAGATCGAATATGTTTTTCTACATGATAACAGCTCGAGTCACAAAAGTTTTGGGGTTTGGGGACATCATACTGAAGACTGTATTCATTCTGATTGGCCAACTGTTTTTAGGTCTTTGGGAAAATTAACACACAGGCAGCCAAAATACTTTGTCTTTATGAGCTGTGGAAAACATCAAGACCATCTGAATGTTTGGTTCAATCTGAGGAATTGAGAATGTGATTCTGGATTCTGAGAATGTGGTTGTCTTTTGGAAGAAGGAAATATTATTAGATGAAAATATGGCAAGATTTTTTATATAACAAAATATTCATTATTTCTTAGCTGAATTATATAACATCTAAAAAGGAGTAAACATTTTCCTGTTATTCTATTTAGTATATAATCCAAATTCTGTAAAGGCAAGGATACTAGCCCTTCCGCCCAGCAATCCCCGGACTTTCTGAATCTGCAATGGGGCCCTGGCTTGGCCTAGGCAATGTGCTGCTCATTCCCTGGGTTTGAGCTAGCGTTGCTTTAATCCACAGAGAGTTTGTTGTGACCTTGGAAATTTAGGAACCTTGAGAAAGTTCTGTGTTGCTTTGAGGGGAAGAAGATGGAGAGGGACACTGATGACAATTGATGTAACCTCTTCTAGCACTCTTCCCCATTTGGCTCACAGCTGCTGGGAGCCTGGGTACTCACCACCCAAAGCCCGGCAGAGGAGGCTCAGATGCGGACAGCGTGCAAGAAGCAAGCCTGCTCTCCCTCATCCATGTTAGTCGGGGAGAGGCCTCTCTCCAGGGCTAACACATCTTGCCAGACAGACTTCATTTTCTCCTACCTGGCCAGGAATACCTTCACTTGGTGTAAAAGATCAGGTCTAATTTTAAACCCATCCAAACTTCCCTGTTTACATATTTATGAGTGCCTCAGATGCAGCTCATTTTGAGACAAGCTGATGTTGACATGCAATGGTGTTAATTCATTCACTGAAGCATTAGAATTTTACTGACATTTTAACGATTATTTGAGAAAATCTGAGGTCTCAGGACACTCTGCCTTAAGAGGTGGCCTCCAAAATCTGAAACTCAGGAGGAATTTCCATCATGCTCCTTTGGTTATTGAAGTTTCTTCTCCCTGGCTCCTCATCCTCTAGGGAAGGAGGTATTATACTATTAGCTGAATATTCACAATTCCTGGGAAAAAGGACATGGCACCTGACAGGACTTACACGGATTCTCACCGGTTTTGCTATAACCACATCTATCCCAGACCTTGTTGCTCATTTTCACTGGGGGTGTTACGATAGTAGAGAGAGTGGAGTTAGGAGAGAGGGTCGTGGTTGGGTAAAGCAGCCCTTTTCAATAATCAAGCCCAGAGAGAGGTGAGCCCATCCCCATCCTACCCCCTATGCCCCAGCAGTCAAGACTCTTCTCTTTCTGGTGTTATTAGGGTTTTTTTTTTAAGGCTACTTATACTCACTAAGGGACTTTGCCCAAAACTGTAGCTGAAGAGGGAAGAGATGTAACCAGGAGATGTCAACCAGGAGAGGGAAACAGACCCTCAGCCCCAATCCCTTTTGTGATGACAGTGTCCAGGGAGGCCATACCAGGCACCGAGACAGGAAAAAGTGGTTCATCCAGTAATTGAACTGGTCTTCAAATGCTATGTTTTTGTTTTTGTTTTTGTTTTTTGCGGTACGCGGACCTCTCACCATTGCGGCCTCTCCCGTTGCAGAGCACAGGCTCCGGATGCACAGGCTGAGCGGCCATGGCTCACGGGCCCAGCCGCTCCGCAGCATGTGGGATCTTCCCGGACCGGGGCACGAACCTGTGTCCCCTGCATCTGCAGGTGGACTCTCAACCACTGCGCCACCAGGGAAGCCCCAAATGCTACGTTTTTTAAAAAGTGTAATAATCCATTACTGACTTTTACTAGGAAACGTCTTACATAGCTATATATTTATCTAAGAAACATAAATTGAATTTTTCAGTGTTCTGTGGCTCTTAGCTAAATTTGTTTAAGCATTTTTGCGTGAGGTAGGTTTTGTTAAAAACAGGTATTAGAGACAAAGTCAATAAATGTTAATTGAACCTACTGGCAGCCAGGCATTGTAAACATCTTGCTGAACTAAGTAAAGAACTCCTCAAACCTCGATAGGAGAACGTTCTCCATCATAAATAAAGGTATTCTGTACTCTCCAGATTCTTCCAAGGAGGCCAGTGCACTCTGGTCTGAAATCAGCCTCCAAAGGGTGTTTCTCGTTTTCCTTTTGAGTGGACAAAAAACAAATTTTGAGGATCCAGATGAAGTTTATGAAGCCATTATATTGCTTGTGTTCTCTTTGATTTTACCTGCAGGGGTTGGGAGAAGTCACTTGTGTTTTTATTATACCTTAGATACCAAACAAGGAGCTTTCCTCTCTCTCCCTGCAGGAAGACAAAAGGGAACTCAAGCTTTCACAGCAGTCTGCAAGCTGTCCCCAAAGGGGCCATGTTTGTCTTGCTCACCTTTGTGTCCCAGGGCCTTGCACAGTCCCTAGCACCTAAGATGCAATATTTGCTAAATGAATGAATAAGTAAGTAAAGCAAAAGGTCAACTGATGAAATTCTTATATGACAACCTTAGGACATGGCTGGACCACAGGGCTACTGAAACCTCTGGTAGGGAAGCTGCATTGTGGGTGCAGTGTTACAGACCTCCACCGTCGTAATCTGGGCACGTTCAATAGCAGAAAGAAAGAATGCTGTCCCCCAGGTGCTGCTTTCTCTTAGATGTCATTCATAAAGCCAGGGGAGTTAAGACACAGTCTTAAGCATTTGATGAGAACCTTAAAAATTATATTTGACATGACTTTGAGTTTTGAAAGTTAGGTTTCTAAGGAGCCCAGGAGCCAAGGAATCTGGGATAGGAGGCACCGGCTTGCTGTCCCCCTGGCTGCAGCCCACCTCTGTGCCCCAGAGCTCGCACCCTTCCCTGTGTGGACGTATGTGTGGACATAGCTCGCACCCTTCCCTGTGTGGACTGAGCCCTGTGTGGGCTCAGTGGCAGCTGCGGTTTGGAGGTTAGCTGACTCAGTCTACTCTGGCTTTAGAAAACCACAACAGTTTTAGAAAACCTGAACTCACAAGGAAGCATATTTTCTGATTTTGGGGGGGATCTCTGAAAATCTACAGTTGGTACTCAGGGCCATTTCTAGTCATGGCAATGCCCCTGCAGAA